CACACACACAGAGCGAGAGAGAGAGACAGACAGACAAATAAACAGGACAAGCGGAAGCGGCCGTTTAAAGAGGACAACGACGAAAAGGCCGTTGAGATTCAAATTTCAAACAGAAACGGAACGTTCGGGTCCCGGTTACCTCGGCAACCCGCCCTCCTCACGGTCGCGCGCCGGCCCTGGCCCGCCGCTCGCCCTCACCCCGCGGAAGAAGGCGGGACCCCGACAGGTGAAGGAAAGGGAGAGATCCCCGCGCTCCGATTGGTCCGCCTCCACCCTGACGGACGTCAGGCGCGTCCAATCGCGAAAAGCCGGGTAGACCGACCGGCCAGAGGATGGAAGGTGCCGAGGTAAGGGTTGGAGGGGGGGAGGTGAAGCGGAGGGCGAAGGAAATGTGATGGACGGCCCAATTGGCCAATCCGATTGAAGGGGGATGGTCCGCGTTCGGCCAATGGACGTGTCGGGAGTCGGAGGCGGTGACGGCGACTCTTACGCTCCGGCCAATCAGAGCGCGCTTTGGTGGTACCGCAGCCCGCCTATCCTACGTCATCCGGCGACCACTCTTCCCCCCTCGTCACCCGCCTCCACCCAAAACAACAACCGCCGCCGTCCATATCGGGCGCAGAAAAGGTGGCAGTTGGCTTGGGGGAGAGTTAGGGGGAAGTGATTATGAGCGTCACACTCGAATCGAAAGTTTAAATCTGGTGGTAGGATTCTTTTGAGATTCTCCAGCGTCTTCTCTGCGTGCGTCTCCATGCAAATGAAAAGCTGGTGAGTCGAGATTGGCTGTCACCCCCCCCAGCCTCCGTGGCAGGTGGTTATGCCCGGCGTGGGAGGCCCCGCCCCTTCCCTGGTTTGCGTCAGAGCCGGGGATGACGTCACGAGAACGAAGTGTCCCGCCTCCGCCCAAAGTGACGCATCTACATCCCGATTGGTCCCCGATCCGTTGATTGGCAACCCATGCCCACAAATCCGACGCAGGAAGGGTGCGAGGGTCCGCCTTTCGCAGGAAGGGCGGGGTGGAATGGACTCTTAAAGGGACATGACCTAGAAAAATGGAATGAGCTGAGGTGGGATTCATAAAAATAAGTGTTTCACAAGAAGTTCTTTGCTGGAAAATCCCTCAACAGCAAATGCTGCAGTTTGAATTCAACAAAAATATCTGGAACTAAGAATCGACTGATGACCATTTTCCATTGTTGGACAAACCCATCTGGTTCACTAACTTCTGGGAAGGGTCACCGGACCCGAAATGTTAACTCTGATACTTTTTTCTTCACAGATGCTGCCAGACCTGCTGAGCTTTTCCAGCGGCTTCTGCTTTTGTTCCATCTGGTTCACTGATGACCTTGGCACGAGAACGTAGTTTGGCAACTGCTCTGCCCAAGGGCCGCGAGAAATTACAAAGTGTTGTGAACGCAGCCCAGTAGATCACGAGAACCAGCCTTCCTTCCATTAATTCCGTCTATGCTTCCCACTGCCTCAGGAAACCAGCCAACATAATCAAAGACCCCCTCCCGCCCTGGTTATAACTCTCTTCCAACCTTTCCCATCAGGCAGAAGATACAAAAGTTTGAAAACAAGTACCAACAGATTTAACAACAGCTTCTTCCCCACTGTTATCAGACTTATGAATGCACCTCTCATATACTGGAGTTGACCTTTCTCTGAAACTTCTCTTGTAGCTGTAAACTATATTCTGAATTCTGTTCTGTTACCCTGAGGTACATAATGTAAGGTATGAATTGTCTGGTTAACACGCAAAACTGTAACACTTTTCACTGTATCTCAGTATAGGTGACAGTAATAAATCAAATCAATTAAAAATCAGGGAAGGAAATGTGCCATCCTCACCTGGTCTGGCCTACATGTGACACCAGACCCACAGCAATGTGGTTGACTCTTACTTGCCCTCAGAAATGGCCAAGGGAGCTAATCAGCTGTATCAATCACTACAAAGTCTCAAAGAAATAAAACTGGACGGATCTCCTGGCATCGACCTAGGCACTGGAAAAGACAACAGCAGAAACAGCCCTGTCGACTCCTCATTAACATCTGGAGGTTAGTGCCAAAATCGGGAGAGCTTTCTCGCAAGCTGGTCAAGCAATAGCTTGACCTAGTCATACTCATGGAATTATACCTTACAGACGATAATCCATAAACCACCATCACCATCCTTGGACATGTCCTGTTCCACTGGCAAGACACCAGAGTGGGATACAGTCAGGAGGGAGTTGCTCTGGGAGTCCTCAACATTGACTCCAGACCCCGTGAAGCCTCATGGCTTCAGGTTAAACATGGGCAAGGAAACCTCCTGCTGATTACCATGTACTGTCTTTGAACAACGCTTGGAGGAAACACTGAGGGTGGCAAGGGCACAAAATGTACCCTGGATGGGGGATTTCACCATCCAAGAGTAGTTTGTCTATAGCACTACTGAGCAGGTTGGTTGGGTCCTAAAGGACATAGCTGCTAGACTGGGTCTGCGGCAGGTCATGAGGGAACCAACAAGAGGGAAAAACATACTTGACTCCATCCTGACCAATCTGCCAGCTGCAGATGCATCTGTCCATGACAGTATCGGTAAGAGTGACCATTGCACAGTCCTCGTGGAGATGAAGTCCCGCCTTCACATTGAGAATAACCTCCATTGTGTTGTGTGTCTCTATCACTGTGCTAAATGGGACAGACTTCGCACAGACCTAGCAACACAGACTGGGCATCCGTGAGGCGCTGTGGGCCATCAACAGCAGCAGAATTGTACTCCAGCACAATCTGTAACCTCATGGCCCAGCATATCCCCCACTCAAACCATTACCATCAAGCCAGGGGATCAACCTGGTTCAATGGAGAGTGCAGGAGGGTATGCCAGGAGCAGCACCAGGCATACCTGAAGATGAGGTATCAGTCTGGTGAAGCCACCAAACAGGACTACTTGCGTGCCCTACAGCATAAGTGATAGAGCTAAGCAATCCCACAAGCAAAGATCTAAGCTCTCTCGTCCTGCCACGTTTAGTTGTGAATTGTGGTTGACAAACAAATATCCCCATCCTCAATGATGGAAGAGCCCAGCACATCAGTGCAAAAGATAAGGCTGAAGCATTCGCAGCAATCTTCAGCCAGTAGTGTCGAGTGGGTGATCCATCTCGGCCTCCTCCAGTGGTGCCCAGCATTGTAGAATGTGTCATCAACAGCGCTATCAAGCAGAACCTGCTCAGCAATAACCTGCTCAGTGATGCCCAGTTTGGGTTC